AAACATCGACCAGACTACACAGCGCAACAAACCAGAAGACAGAAATCTTTAAATATAAATTACATCCACTGAAGATCCGAATCTCTTTAAATACCATCTTTCCATTATCTTCTTGGTTTCCTGTTGTCGCTGATTTGAGAGATGACTTCTGTAAAGAATAATGTTTACTGAAAAAATTGGTTAAACTGCTCTTTTGACCGCCCTCACAATACGGAATCCAATAACTCTGATAGCGAACAAACTTCTTATGTACCTTTTGAACTCTGGACTGAATCCTGTGACGAACAATGTCCTGAGGAATGCTTCAGATTACATGCATTTTCAACTTGATCGCTCCGAAAGGGTTAAATCAAAATGGTGGGTCATTAAAATAACAAAGACCCACACGCCGAATATGTAAAAATAGAAACAAGCACTGAGTCGTTCAATATCATACCGGGTCAGGAGTTCACAACCCATACACCGACGTAACAAACTCATTCTAAACAAGTCTAGTTTCAGGTCATGATTAAGTTGCTTACTAAAATTATAGCCTAAGCTAATATTTATTCTAGGCCGTTTAATGTTTACAGTAATACTATAATCTGAAAGTATTAACTATTCAATAGACCTACAATATGTTCCTATTAAATTGTGAGCAGATTAAATCTGTCATATGTTGTGAAATACATTTTACAGTATTCAAGTCTCTTTTACATTGAATACTGAAGTCTGATTTTCCCTGAACAGTGCCATTCACGGCTCGATGCATGCATACGGAAACGATAATTCAGAGTTGCTTCGCATGTCACCATGAAACATATAATTAATGTGTCAGACAAAACGAAGATTGATTTAAATAACTATATAAACGAGAGTTCCACGCATAAATTACCTATCCAATTATCATAAAATTAGAGTGACACTTCGAATTGGTCCAGTATCCGCTGCCCCCCCCCCATTCCACAGTACAAAGGTACGAATATCAATGAGTTCAAAAAGCTATTTCTCATTGATCACTACAGTTAAGAAACACGTTACTTCGGTAAGCATCATAGATTGCTTACATTTACATCTCGTATTACATTTGTTTCGCATGAGCAATAAATACTTTGAATAGTTTAAGAATAAGAGAGCAGTGGACTCCAGAAAAGATTAAACTCAGGGCAGGGTCCACTAAGCCATTACTCAAACATCAGGGGAAGAACCTACAAGTATTATGGATGACAAAATACATGAACTACGGCATGTAATTTTTTAGTAGCCGACAGGATGCTAACAGGGACATCAAAGAACTCTGACGTGATCACCAGAAACACAGAGTAAAAAAAAGAACTACAAAGCTAGTCACATGCAAACACCACAAAGGCTGTGAGTTAAAAAAGTGACAGGATGTTAACATAATTACAACTCAAACAATGATCTTCTGAACAGAATATAAAATTGATGACGATTTTTTGACAACTGTATAAAGTTCTTTTTTATGAGTACAGATTTCTATTCATGTTGTATACAGTCTACTGTTACAGTTATACAGCACAGATTATAAAACTGCTTGAAACTAGGATACAGAGTTCATTTCTTGCGACTAAGAGAGAACACCACGATGATTTCTACATGGGCCAGTTTACTGGGCTGTTTAATTGTGGTAAGTTCACAAAAGTATAACATTATCTAGAATTGGTGGCCCATTGCCCTAATAATGGAGGCAGGAAGGACCTCTAAAACTCGGAAAACTTCTACCAGACTGTGTAAGACTTGAGGTTCTCACAGCGGTGAATATGAAGATTTCTGTCTTCTGGGTTATTGCAGACTACGTGGCGCTACAACCGAGACGACAGCCATATTCATGTTTAGTTTGTTGATAGTTTCATAAATAAGTGCAGGCAACTATTTATTCTTCTTATAAAAATCTATTGAAAGCAGGGAAATAAAATTAATGAAACAAATATTCATAATGTAACATTGTAGCAGTCAAACTTTCATACCTAATTCTTTTGACTGCAGATTGCAGCTGTTCGTGACAGTACCCCAGAATCAGATGAGCAATATGTTATGTCTCATCTGCAAAGTCTCATGCCACTGCACATAGCAGTGCCAGAGAGGTTTAAACGACAGGTACAAAGTGAAAATGGGACAAGTGACAATCAGAAACTACCATCACCATCAACAAACATGCATTTTAGGTTCAACAAGGTAGGAAATACTACTACAAGATTAAGACAGGCCAGTTACTGGTTGCTCATGTGGATTGAAGGGATACTTTAGTTCCAGCAACTAAGAAATCATTTCCATGCATAAACAGTGTGCATCAGCATATTTCTGTAGCAAAGGCAAAGAAATTTTATGTTCACTAAACATGCTGTAATTGTTAAACCCCATCAGTGGGCCATGCTAAACCAAACCATTTGTGATTTATAAAATGCCAGGTAACCTACCAAGCTTATGGTAAAAAGCTCATTTTCTGTCCATATACCATCAATCTCCGTCTTTATAGACAGGACCCACAGTGAAATATGATCCAGTACTCTTTAAAAATAAAGAAACTTAATCTAACAATTTTAATTTTGGGCGAAAATGACTTAAAAGCTGCAGTTTTTCTTTTATGTGACAGTGCTGCAAGAAGATGCCAAAAATCATCAACATGAAATCAGTCAAAGAATGTATTAAAAGCATGAGACCAGTGCCAACACCAGGAGGCCCTAGTGGACCTCCTCCTCCATCAGGAGGCCCTGGGGGACCTCCTCCTCCATCAGGAGGCCCTGGGGGACCTCCTCCGCCACCTCAAGAGGGTCCTGTAGATAATGATGTAGGGGAAAGTACTGAATCAGTAGGAGACTCTGATGGACAAAATCTAGGAGCCTTAGGACAAATGCAACACAGACCAGGAAAAAGAGGTACTAACCCCTGTCCTTGCCTAACATTTCAATTAATACATTTCCACTACTGCAACTATTGGCCTGGTTTCAAAGATGAGCTGGGGTTCAAGAGAGGTTGTGTCATTTCCTAATAATATGCCGAGCCCACTGTAGACTCCCAGATTTCATTATTCCAACAAGGGGCTACCTGTATAAACTTCAGTTTCGTACCATCTAATTTTCTGTTTCCCACTCACCTCACCCTTCTTAGACCCAAATATTTTCCTTAGCACTTTTTTTTTCCAAAAAGCAAAACAAAACAACCATTGTTTTAACATGTATATATTTTAATTTTTGTTTGATGATGAATAATTTAATTAATTTTGTACTGTATTACAGGTGGCCTACATAAAGCTCATCGAGGAAATATTGCTGTAAGTGTCATTAAAAATACTGTGACAATACATTTAACATTTATGAGACTTTTTTTACTCAGGATAGCAGGATAGTTGCCAGCATCTTATATTTGTATCAAGCACGTCCAGAATATAACTCAGAGCGTGTACCACTGAGCCTAGACAGACTAAATTAAATAGTAAAATTCATGATTTCAGAAGATAGCCAGTTTGAATCTCAGCCAGTGTATTGGCCATCCTGATCTTTCTTTCTAAGATTTTCTTAAATCCTTTTAGACACATGCCAGGACAGTATCTTGACAACTTCCTCCTCCATTCCACTGAGGATGAATACTTCTGTCATCTCATTTACCAATAACCAACTTTTGCATTTAGCATAAAACTGTTACATAACTTAAAAAAATCTACAACTGTATTACCCTGCACAGTATTTATATGAGCACCCTGCACCCTTTTAATATTCAGATGGTATGTGACGACACTTGACAAACAACAAAGCTTAGCTTCGAAGCTGCTGCTGTTCCTCTTTCTAAGTTACGGTACTAGATGATTTGGCATCGCTGCTTCTTTTGAATATTTTGGCATACAGACTAAAATGACTGCTCATATTATAATACACTAACACACACAAAACAAAATTTACCTTTACTATATCATTTGTTAATGTTAACATATACATAAACCAAATTATTCCCTTACTTTGTTACAGTGTGCTATGGAGTGTGCCTTTGAAAAAGAAAATCTGGTGAGTTGTCCAACATCTACATCTTTCTTACCCCTCAATGAACATACTGTCAAGACATAAGCATTCAAAGCCTTTCAGATGAAAAAGTGCTATATTACACAGTAAAATCACCAATTATAAATAAATAGACATAATACTTGTTCCCTAAGCCATCTAGTCAGTTAGTTACATAACACTTGTAACCAAGAACCTCAAGGGAAGACACCACTTACCACACTCACCAGATGCAGATACACTTAAACAAGTATTTATTTCAAACACCAGTATTTAAAGGTAATAACACATGCTTCCTTTTTAAAGATAAAAGATGGTGCAATAGATCAACAAGCCTTTGCAGCATACATAGATAAATACATACAAGAAAATAATGCTACGATGTGGAAGGATGCAATAGATACAGCTCTCCAAAACTGCTCTGTTTCTGTTCGTAAGTATCCACACATATTCTACATCTAGCAGGAAGGCTGGGTTTCCATGTGTGCATCCATACAACTTGTATTTAATTTTTATTTTTGGATTATATAATGACATTGTCAGTAGCATTACCATCTTGGAAGTTTCACATCCATTTTTATTTGTATCGATTCACTGGAAAAGTTTATAAAGATGGAAGAAAGTAATTTAAACATGTGAACAGGAAAGAAATATATTAGCAAGAAATTTCAATTCTGTGTTTCAGCCACAGCCATTAACCAAGGGCAAAACTGCAAATCTGGCTCAATGGAGATGATGAAATGTATGGACAGACAACTATTTGTAGTAAGTAATTCTGCATAACACTGACAGACTTCCTGATACAAAAAACCTGGGCTTTAACACTGCTAACAGGAAGGGCACATAATTCGGTTCACATCTTCAAACTATTTCTCTAGGATCAATTATACTATTATCACCCTTTTTCTATGTCAGTGTTCCAAGTGGTCACTGTATTTTTCATGTTTCTGCAACCCATGATGCATATTCTCACCCTATCATAACATACAACATAATCACAAGACATTTTTAGCAGATCGCTAGTTTAAAATATTTTCAAAACTGTTAGCTTCCATTTTTACAGTTACATCTTCTTTCAGAACGAGATATAATCTAAAGTTGAAATTCTCATGGTAGCAAGCACATCAATGTTTGACTTCTGGGTTTTGATGCTGTCAGGACTGCAGGCAGACAGACACCTTTAAGATAAAGATAGAGGAAAAACTTTTCTTATTTCCCTAAGATTATCATCTGTCCAGGGTAAAGGAAATCTTCCTATTACGACTTCAACTTCTCATTTCTTTCTTGCATACGCAATCTCTCTTCTTCCTCCTGGTAAACAGTGCAACACTTGTTTCATTATTCTCATATCATCCATTATTGCAAATGTTCTAATCACAGAGCTCTACATTTCCTCTATTTATATTCTAACATACAGATATCTATTGTCTTCATATTTTGTAATTTCTAATTCTATCCATTCTTGTACATTCTTTTATATCCACTTTAATATTACATTCCCATCATACCTAGATCTCCCAATGGTTACCTTCCCTTTGGGCATTCTCTATAAAATTTTGTATGTACTTCATGTGTCTTCCAATTGTGCTAATCGCCCCAACCATCTCAGCCCCTTTAGCTTGATAGTGATGATTAATAATTTGTAACATTTAATAAACTCTCTTTTTCAGAACTGCCCAGAATCTAACTGGAAAGGCAGTAAGTATAATATTTACAACAGAATGCTAATACTACATTATTGTGACAAGATCTTTCTACCTAAATCATAGGACCAAAACTACCTTTCTATTAGACAAAATTCTATACACGTGTTTCTATAGCGGGTTACATACAATTTTGCTCTCAAGTTTAATATTTTAATTTACAGGAGAGCACCCTGTTATGGTTTTTTTATCAAAGTAGTAGTTTTATATTCAAACACACAACATAATACCACAATGTAAGTTGTTTTCTTTAATGACTGATGATAGTCAAAGGTTCAAAATCAGTGCTGTGGAACCTGATTCTTTAACCTGAGGATAGAAGTAAATCGATTTTCATTCTTCACCAGGTTTGAAAGCTTGTAGATCATTTCTTTTTGCATGCCACTAGCTGCCAGTTCATGGAGAAGTTGAATCTCAAGTTGGTAACAGGAACAAAGGAAACTTAAAGAGAATCAAAAATTTCATCATGTAAACCAAAACAGATAAAACTGCTTCAAAGATTAAGTGCTATGGAAATAAAGAGACAACATAGGGTTCCAGATCTAATTTTCAGTGAACCCATTACCATAATTTACACACATATAATCTCTCATTAAATTTATTTTCTTATACGAAATTAAAACTAAAGTCTAAAATTAACTCATGGATTTCAAAGTCAACTCACTATAAACTGGCTGGCTGGTGTAGACAGACAGGCATCTAAGATACCTGTGAGTGAATGTGTTAAAGCATGAACATATTTTACAACGAACGTTTTAACACCCTCAGAAGACGAAAGATGCAATGCCTGCCGAACATCACCAGAAAACTGTGGGGAGAAAAGGTGTCAACATAAATGGCATCGACCAAATCCAAGAAATCAAACAGAAGAAACACAGGATTAAGGAAGGTAAATGTCAAACAATCAACACTATTTAATAATGGAACTTTAATTCCTTGTTTGTATCTTAAATGGAACTGTAAAATAAAATGTATAAAGTTTGTGGTTCCTTCAATAACAGCAAGTTATTCAGCAATTAAAATACATCTTGTACAGTTTTGAACTGATCAGCATTTTATCATTAAAAATAACAATTAAAAAGTATCTAAAGAATACAACCTGTACTAATAACATTACAAGAAAATATTTGCCGCAAAATTGGCCAATTTTTATTCCAACCTCTATCACACAGTAATATGATCAGCCTCCCCATACTGACAGGACAATTCTAAGTCCAAAATATCCAGACTTCCAACGAAAATCTTCGTAACAAACAAGTTTTCGGCAACTGACAAATTTACAGGGCATGGCATTGTACTTTATGAAGAGTATTCAAATCATTTCTATTCTTCATTACCTTCAAGTGCATTTATATTAATTATACGCTGCACCATGTCACTAGCTAACATTCCACACCTCTATCACAGTACATTCAGATACCAGTATACTAATGTACTAATGCCATGAGGGGAAAACTTCACCTTTGTTACCATCAACTTCCTATAAAAGTAATCACAAATTACTTTTGACTTCATCCCAATAAATAAATTACATTTTATTCCTAACAGAGGTTGTTACATAAAATGTGTAAGAATCATATTGTGAGAACAGGGAAGTAAAGGGTATAACCATTCCCGAGTTTATGTATTTCATTCAAAGGGCATATACGGGTATGGAGGCAAAGCTCCATGTTTTCTTATCCTCAGCGCTGGATAAAGCTGAGGTAATGGCTCCATGCCCTATCCACTTGCATGGAAAAACTGCTGGTACTTATTGTATAGGAGGCTAGGTAGAATAAAATGAGGTATGCCTGTATATAAAATCTATATAGTGTATTTCAAAAGAATCAAATATTCTGGACTTTGAATTACAACAGTTGGTTGTATGGAGTTTAATACTGACACAGTAAGTTTTCTAGACAGTGAAACTGTAAAGCAAACTTCTACATTTATAGGTCAGCATGATATGACAGGAGTAGTAATCAACTCTTCTGCCCTATACCTTGCCAAGGACACATATTTCTCTAATCAAGAAGTTTTTGTTATACGAAGGTTCATATGAAAAATTATATTGAGAATTTTACCATTCAAGCCTTTTAATTATTCTCCAGGGGATACAGGATATGAAAATTTAACTCAAAATGACTGAACATCAAATTGAGTTGTATTATGTAAATATACTAATGCAAAATAAAAGTATGTTATAAAATCACATTTTCACATTACTGAGGACACAGCTGAATATTATATATCATACAATTCACAAGAATGACTACACAAAAAATTTTGGTCATCAAAACTTGTCACAGCTTAATTAAATCACCAGTTTTGAATCATTATATTATGGGATTAACCATTATACTGGAAATGGAGGGTATGCTAGACAGAGCTTGTCTAGGTGCTATGTCCAGAGCAGTCCAATCACTGAATTCTTCACTCACTAATTTCAAGTTAATTCATGATCCTGTATCTGTATCTGAAGGACAATGAAAATCACTATTTTCAAAGCTTTTATGTGAACAATCACATAAAATGGCCAGTCCTGGAGATTTGTACCTACATTAACATGACAATGAATGTGCAAGAAATGAAACATCTGGACCCAGCACAACACTATAAATATTTACACTGAATCTTCACTGAAGACATGGTTTCACTTTGTAACATTTACATCCCAAATATGCACAACTTCATAAATCAAACACACCAACACATGGAACTTTTATGTATCTTATATTCCCAAGAAATAACATGATTGACACTGAACACCAATTGCATTAATTGCCAAAAAGTGTTAAATTAAGACATTCGACAGCTACTGTCAATTAAAGGCCTGAAATAATTTACAATACCAGCAGATGAAAAACTCAGAACACTTAAAAGTGTGATGACAGCAAAAGATAGAACACAATAAAAAAACTGAGAAAAACAAGGTGATGGAGGAACAATATCTGAGGCCAATACCAGCAACTGCATAATCTACTACAAGACAGAACATTCTCACATCAGAAACAAATGTAACTTCAAACAGTGCTTGAATATTCTGCAACCAGACCTTTCAGAACCATACTGAGTATAAGGACAGTATGCCACATTACCATACAAAAATTTACACCTACGTGGCAGAGAAATAAAGGATCTGGGAAACTTGTCTATTCCTGTACCATGCTTACAGGCGTAATTCTGTAAGAGCTGAGTCTCTACCCTTACCTATTACATAAAAAATGTATGCTCCAAATTGGAAAAAAATTACATGACATTCCACATCCAAACACACCTCACCTTGTAGAATCATGATCAGTGAGCTGAAACACTATCTTTGCAACACATAAATCTGCCCATATTTCAAGAGAATGATGTTACAAGTTTAGAAGTACAGAATTATCGTAAGGCATTATATTTTGACGTCAACAGTAACTTCCCTAGTAGTGTGTGTTAGCAGTATCTGAAGAAGCATTCAGTAAAGAAAAAGGCAGGCATTACTTTTGTTTAAAATTCATTATGTTCAGTGCAATCCATATTATTCAGTAACTAATATAACTACAACCTAGTTGTGTCAAGAATGAAAATGAGAGGCAGTAGGTCCCACACCCTAATGAATAAATGAGTGGGTACTGGAACCTTTAAATATAACTTGGTTGGTTACACGCACAAACGCATTATATACACAAACATACTCAAGGTGATGCAACTTTTCTACTGTCACTTATCATACTGTGAAATGCTATTCTTTAAGTAACAATATAATTAGCATAAAAACTCAAGAAAATCAAATCTTTTTACATTTCAGTTTTACCAACAGATCAACTATCAATTTAAAATTATATGCAATTATAGAATTACAAACTTTGTTACAAAATAGACCTCTGTCAATGCTCTGTATAACAATTTTGTAACAAACTGTACTGAAGAGTCTAAGAAAGCAGACACAGAGCATCAGCCTGTTAGTAAACAATCCATCCACTGCAACAATCACTGCTACATAATGCTTAACCACCTACCTGATAACACAGCATGATATGAAAGTTGCAAAAACATTTTCAATTGTTTTCATGGGCCATAATAAATACCATATTAAGTTCCTTTACTCAGGAAGAAAAAAACAAATTGGGGATAATAACTCCTCAACTGACATCACACGAAGAATGAGCCAAAACCAAATGTCCTCTTCATTGCTTCCCAGTAGTACCGATCCCAATTTTCTCTTGTTGAATCAGCTTCACTAAAAATTAAAACAATTTGTAACAGTACAATTCACTTATCTGCATTCTGTTTAAAAAAGCTGTCAGTAGTTCAGGATATACAGCATTGAATGATAGGATAAACGATGGAGGAAATACACAATGACGTGACCATAGCCTAATTTAATGAAACGTCACAACAAATGACTGGACAGACCTAGGGAAGCAACAATAAAGTTCAGTCATGTCTCCAGGCAAAGAGCAACTGTAGGAAGAACTATTCTCACATGGATAAAACCAAACCAAAACAAGCTCTCAGCCAGGACAGTTAATTTCTGGGCCAAAGTGAAAACATATTCCTCCGAACTACCTACGAAATATTTCAATGTAAAGATTGCAGGCCCTATTATAATACTGCTAAAACAAATGTACACTTTTCTGACAGCAGTAACTACGAGGTTCAAGTCATCACCTAGGGTGTGAAAAACTGCCTGCATTCAATTCTGTTGAGGAATACAAATTACTTCAAACCCACCATGTTCCAGGATACACCATAAGAACTCATACACAATGTGTGCACATACATAGCTATTGCATAATATGGAATTCTTATTATCTACGATAAAAATAGGTAGGAAACAGTTTCATAATTTGAACAACTGTCATGACATGATATGTAAACCAATCAGTATTAAGTCAGTATCATTAACTTTCAGTCACAAGTGCAATGAGCTGCTGAAATATGTCACATTGGACAATAACAGTGAAACATATTAACAAGGAAAATCTGACTGAAATAAGTACACCAACAAACCACAATTCATCTGCCATCCTGCAACATTCAAACATATAATTTAAACTTGGCATACCTTTGCGGAACACCTGTCTGCACAACCGTCACCTCCGTATGGTCTTCTTTTTGTTCTATGTTAAAGGTTACAATTGAATAATGTTCAGTAGGCCACCTCTTAAATCTCCATCTTTGAACAATCTTCTTGTTGGGAATCTAGCACATAAAAATGTAAAACAAATACCAAATTTACAGGCTTTCCTTTTGTTTTGTGAAAATGTAACACCCGTGCTTGCATCATGGACCATGTGTTAAGATGTGACATACAGTAAATAAAGGTTGGTATGACTCATGATATTGTCAAGTGGCAGGCTTTAGATAACTGTTAATGAAACTTCAGGTTCCATAAATAGCAGCCTGAAATATTTAACACAAATGTAAGTAAACACTGTGGTGAAACTTGTCTTGTAAAGCTTGTATCTACTATGAAAATAAATAAATGTGTAATTATTCTGATAAATTTGTTAGTGTAAGACATCAAGATATATAATTTGACTCAGAGACCACAAGTTGCATGCCTGTATTAGAAAGTGAGGTAAGTTAAAAAATTCTAATGTGTGCCACTGACTTACATGTATCCAGTAAATAAAACTGCCCTAAACTTTGTTTATTAACATTCACTATGGAACTGATGGCTCAACATAAAATATTTCAAACGTTCGTAAATTCTGCAATGTTACAATTCAAGTTAAATTTCAAAATTCGCAACTGCCAACAACATCCCTCGCTCATGCAGCGAAGTAAATACACGCACAAATGTGCATCACGATCTGCGCGGGTGACCCCCTAACCTAGCCTAACCCAACCAACCTGACTCAGCGTAAATCAGGGCTGCCAACTGAACAGACTGATGTCATTAAGGTTGAAATTTCTTGATACATAAATACTACTGAAGACTTGCCCTCTCCATTAGTTTGTTATTGGCACTCATACCATCTAATTCCCAAGACTTTCTTACCAGTTCTACAAAGACTCCACACACATTTCCACCAAAGAGTTCAAACTTCCCATCCTTCTTCGCTTCTAGTTTCACTGGACCATGTGTAAACGCTTGCACCATCTGTAATGAGACGAGAAATACCTTGATATTACTCCTTTCTCTTGAAAGGTATGGAAATCTGTAGCATGTACTCTCAGACAAAGTCTAATCTTGGTGAATGTGCTGATCTAAGCTGCCCTATTACAACTTTTATACTAACCAAACACAACTTACATCTATGATTTGAATCTTTCACAGCAACTAAGTATAATAAATTCTTCTCGTGCTACCAGCCATGTAAGGTAGATTAAAGAAGAAAACATCGTTTCGAGCACCATATTCGTCCTTAGGGTACTGTAGTTGTATGCGATCCCATCCGTGCTGTGTCTACCTGACCTAGTTCCATGTTATTGGCGGCACGTTTGTTATTACAAATTTCATCCCCCTGCACATTTAATCTGCTTTACCAACAAGCATCACGAAATACTTACCTCAGTCACTGTCACTGCATTATAGAACTCCTCCCCAGTACACTGGAACTTTTCAATAAACTCCAGGTTTGTGGTGCTTATATTACAACCTCTGACCTGATTCCTTTCAGTGTGGTTCACATGTACCTGCAAAATACAGTTTTACAAGATGATGATGGTAATATGCCGGCATCATTAGCCAAAGGTACAAAACTTTCCTTCTGGTGTCCTCAATCCTCATTGCTAACAAGATGTTAGAGGCAGAACACACAAACCCTATTACCACAATTTATACACTTCTAGTCTATCAAATCTTGTGTTGTTAGTGTTTTACATTGACAGTTCTCTAATTAAGAGAAAGATATGCTGACTTTAGCAATGTTCAGTAAACATTGTATTAATTTTGATTAATAAAATACTAAAACCATTACTTTCTCACACACACAGGGAATTGAATATGGAATGTAGAATTCATGAGCATATATAATTTTTATGGCCTATTAGCCAGGACCAATGCATAATGTGAAAAATATAATCTGAAACAAAATAGAACTTCCACCTAATTAAGTTGTATGTGTGCCACTTTCACCTTTCAAGTTCGTGCATCCATTACTGACCACATGACAAAGACAAATGAGGTTGAGTGGCCATCAATTATATAATTTTCAAATCAAATTATTTGAAAATCAGTCAACTGGTTCCTATGTTTAAAGGGAGAACAGACACAGAGAGATACCATGATAATCTCATAACCTTATTTTTTCCTTTAAAAAACATAAACTGCAATAGAAAATAAATTATGACTTCTCATTTCAGCAAAGCAGGGGAGAAATACTAAACTCACATTCAGATAAAAATGATAACGCTAAATAGTTGTTTTAAACATTACCTTATGATTCTTACCTGTTTATGAAAGCCTGCTGATAAATTAGTGACAGTATCGCTCTTACTTGAATCATCCTCATGTTTCTTTGGAAGAATCATACCTTTTGAAAATTCTGTAAACCATAACGTACAATTAAACAGTGGCAATTACTTTATAATAGGCAATTCACAACTATAAACAGAAGATACTACATATTAGCTTCAAACCAATCGTTGCAGGTGAGTGGTTAGCGAGTTTGCCTCATATTTGGGTGGCCCCAGTTTCAAATCTGGCCCAGAGACAAGCCATGGTGGTTGAGGATTTTATGGTTTTTCTCAGTCCCTACAGGGAAATGCCAGGATAGTACCTTAAATCAGGATAACAATGCTTATTTCCATTTGCCTTCCAATTCATTCTCCATCACATAATCTGGGCTCCTAATAATACTGTTAAATCACAAACAAATAAACGAGTATTAGCTTAAAAATAATAAACTTTAAACTTTCAAAGGACTAATTTAATCTCTGCGGAGGTACCCGGGTTATTTTTACTAAGCGATTTTCTATAGGTCGGCATCTTACATGAATGCAACTATCGCATAACAGCAGAGATGACTGTACACATCAATCACATGAAAGAGTCGCAGTCAATCACGGGGACCAACGAAATACCGATTGTAAGTGTATATAATATATTTTTGAAATTCCCTTTATTTTATTTACGTTATTTCAGAGCTTTAAATGTAATGCCATTATATTACTCGTCAATGTTTGGGTGCTGGGAATGCATGTCATTGACTTCTCATTGATTTACATTATAAAAGAGTTTCAATTTACGCCGGTTCGTCCCGGAACGCATCCCTGGCGTAAATCGAGGGCTACCTGTATATAGCAAGATCACTTGCAGTTTAGATGACACTGGTTACATACTAAAAACAGGTGCAGGTATTTCAGAATGCCATGTTATATGTATTTTGTAAGTATATCAACAATGTATTTTGAAAGTTAAATCCAATGACAAGAAAGCATTCCTTACCTTCTTTAAGAGCAACTATATATTTATTCAACTGTTCTCTAATTACATTTTTTCCATCTTTAGTCAAAAATTCCTTCAGTTTATCAGCCTCAGGATTTGAGTTCTTGACACTAACGCTCACCTATAGGAATAAAAAATGGTAAACAAATATTTACCAAAGAAACAACACATGACATGGTGTTCGGCTCAGACCCCTCATTTAACCCACAGAAGAGTGGTGCCAAACCTTCCAAGACCTGGAGCCACATTGATCCTCTTATTGACTTTTGGGCCACAAGATTGTGCATGCCCATTATTTTAATTATTATGGAAATGCCTTCTTTTATTACAGAGAGAGAGAAAATGTTACATGGATGTGCGTGATGTGCAACTGAAACCATTTGCTTGCATGCAAATGCATCAGTATTTTAGGAATTATGCTTGCAGAAAGGGGATTAGAAATCCTGTATGGTAACCATAAAAGATTAGACCTTAAAAAACATCCTGCAAGATACCAACTAGATGAAGTAAAATTCCATTGGAAAACTTGATAATTGTTAAGGGAGATAAAATTACGTAAACAAAATACAATGGCCACTTGTTTTGACATCTGTAATGTTCAGAGGAGTGACTCAAGATGATTTGAGTACAATTTATTTTATGAAACAACCACTTAAAATACAAGTCCTTTATTAGATTCAGAGTAATACTTGTTGCACAGTATGGGAATTTATTCAAATAGTGAGACATTTACCAACATAAACTAACATCTATGACAGCAATCAGTATGTACATATAAATTTCTGAGACTTACTTCAATTTCTGAGATACTATTTTCCTCACTAAGGTTGGGGATATTTATCGAGCCTTCAACTTCATTTTCCCCACCTTTTAATGTGCCTGTCCACTCAAGCACAACATCCCACTCATAGAAAAATATCAATTTTCCTTTACGGTTGTTTGCTATTGCTTCTCCATCACATTTCTTCACCTCTGTAATCTTACACTTTGCTGAAAACAAACAGAAGTAAAGGTCCATTACACAGAAACTCAACATAGAACATGGCACTGTCTTATAAACTTTAAACAGCTGTTTTAAAATCTCTACCTGGTGTGCTACTCTATCCAGTAAATGACATACAAATAACACTTTCAATTTTAATTATACACTGCTATAACACAAACACGCAAAATATGAAGCACTTCACTTAATTGTTCACAATTGTAATCTTATTATTCACAACAAAAATGTTTATTATTATGAATATGTACTATGGAAACTCAACTTCTATTTGTTTATCTTAAAACTTGGTTAAATTGTCAAAACAGAGGTACAATTTTACACTGTTGTGATCATACACCTAAGAATTTTGATTTACATCTTCTGGACATAACTTACTCCATTCTCTTCTAATGACATATTTCTCACAAAACATGTCACTGGATTAGGGTTGTTATACAGTTCTAATCCCATGCAAAAATCTTTTAAAGTTATGTAAATACAAGGAATCATAATAATGCAAAGATGAAATTATGTTTCGCATATGGAACTGAAGAATAGTGAAGAATTTTTGCAAATTAACTAGTATCTAAACTTTTATTATTCATCAAAATGTTCAACAATTCTGCACCTAATAATGAACACAAAAATCATCAAAAATGTAAACATAAAACCCTCAATATGGATGTACACTGATAAAATACAAACTACAATCTTACCAATATCATTTTCAATTCGTAAATTCACCAGAAGTTCCTTCAGCTTCTCCACAGACCAGCTACACGCATTTTTTTCAGTCCTAAAATAAATACGAAAACAGGTCACGTTATTTAATGACTCTTACTCCATGTACCAAAACTGTTTCACATAGCATAATATGAGATGAAAAGATCATGAATACTGAGATAATTGTGATTTAAAGGAACAAAGTGAGAGGAAAACTATAGTCTGGGTCCCTGCTCTTTAGCCCTGAGGGATGAGGTACAGGAAGACAGGAGGAAGAATAAGGAAACTGACACAGCCAATCAGGATGCCACTGTTTATCTCTGCGGTGAGAAGATGGTGACTAACAGCCTGTGATGTACGATGCAGACAAGATTTTCCCTCAGTGAATTATATTCCCGTTTGGTAATACTGGCATTCACTAATTGAAATCAGCATGCAGACTTCGCAAGTGGAGCAAAGACAAACTCAGTCAATACATTCATTTTGAAGAGTTGATACATTTCCTTCTCTTTGCCACTGCATTCCTTCCAGCGCTACAGAGCTTGGTCCCAGACAACAGGCTACATACTGCTTACCCTGAATTCCAGTCTACAGCATTATTGCTCAGCAACCTAATTTTCTTCTAACATTGTCTCCACTTTATAATGGATCAATTAATAAAAAGCCTCTAATCTATTATTCTTCCCTCCACAATCTTCAACTTTTTTGCTCACTCTTCTTCTTCTTCATGTCTTCTAGTACTTGGCTGCACCAACTTGTTCACAGTCATCCCTTCGGTCTTTTTCCCTTAAATTTAAATTCTGATGCACTTCTTAGTATTCTCATTCTCAACATTTCCTTTAATGTCCATGCATGTTTCAAATGAAATACTTTTTTTCCAGATAAACCTACTGAGTAATCATTTCCAAAGGACTGAATACAAGATAATATTAATACAATGCACAAACTCCATCCATCACTAGGTCCTGATAATCTCAAATCCAGGACATTCATCACAGAAGTCCAGTACAGTGTCCAACTCCATAACCATCCCAAGACCACCAACATAAAAATTGGGCAAACTTGCTGTATACTGGGGCTCACTCCTCAGGCACTTTTCCAATGAATAAATGGGAAGGTGTCAATAATATAACAAAATAAAAAAACTGCTATTAATTAAAATCACCAAAAACTATACTGACCAACACAAATAAAGGCAATGAGTTTTTGACAATTTTGCAGATCTACGGTCACATACCATCATCATCGAATGAGCTTCTGTCACTTGCTGTACACTCACTCAAGTAATTGGTAACTAATCAGTTACTTAAATTATATGGCAGATGCCTGCATACCAGTCCACAATGTTACCAAAATGCAAGAACATACTGCTAAAGCTTGCAATGTAAGCACTGGAAGTGAGCAAAGAATTACTAGCGAGGGCAATGACACAATTTTTATCTCACGCCAACTGCCTTCATTCCTGCAAGTCACTATGAAAGTTTATGACATAATTTACAATGAAATATCCTTACCAGTGCCAATTGTTAACATTTGTAGCATCAGGCCGCTCTTCTACAATCCAACGAGGATCGCCTTCTCCCCACTTTGCCATTTTTATACTAGTTGATATATATATATATATATATACCCCAAATTATCTGGAGACAGAAAGAAAAAAAGAAAAACACTGAAGAGCTCTCCTGTAATGCGCAATAAACAACATACCATGCACATTCAAATCTCATCTTTTATGCTTGTCATGTTGTGATATCACATACGCCATTCTAATGCTCCACATTTTAGCAGAGTTATTATATTATATCACTATCACAAAGTTTAAATAAGAAACTATACAGTGCTAGGGTCTAACATAATGGAAAAAATCCATTTCTAAGGTCGTATTTGTTTCTGCACAGATATTGACAGATTTTGTTCTTAATGAATACATACTTTAGTGAGAAATTATATACATCTAGACACACTAAACCAATGCAAGAAAACATAAGTAAATGTGAACAGACAATATAAAAATGAACATAACATTTCATTGACATGTTAGGCAACTGAGGGAGCATATGTTGCATATAAATAAACTTCCAAAATAACTTTCTTGCAATGTTGATGTCACTATGTAAGTCAAGTAATAATTTTTTGTAAATGACAGATGAACAACGGAAAGCACTACAGTGAGGGAGGAGATGGTAGCTGAATCTGTATGTTAACTGTTCTAACAAACACATAAAATAAAAGATTCATACGAAGTCACACAACTGTAATCTTCAGCATATCTTTAAAATATGGGTGACCGATTACTTGCACCTCTTTTGCCCCAATTGTGTTATGACACAATTACACTAATTACCAACATATATTTTCTGTTATACTAGTGAAGTTAACATTCAAGATAAATATTTGGTCTTGTATTTGGGCACATTTTTCCAGCAACTACAAATTCTGTGAAATTTAATGAAACCACTAGCAAAACAATAAATTTTGCAAGAAGTTTGTCAGTATACATCATGTAGGAGTGTGGAGACTCAGCTTCATGGTCACCATATAGTAGCCATCCTCGGTAATATCATAACAAATTGACTTTGGCAGTCATAACAAAAAATAAAAAAGCATTGTGGCCACCACTGCTAAAATAACCCACAATGACAGCCTGCCCAATGTGTGTAAAATATATAAACTCCAAGTAATATCTAAAAACCACTTAATTATCCAGTAACTGTGCCCATTTCTATTCAAAGAACTTCTGAATATAATCTCAATTTCCACTAACAAATAGATCTGCAGCCACTTCTTTTTATGTATCATTTATATTCCAATAGCAACGCCAGTTTAGACTGTCCATTTGTGTTGTTACTCCATGTTGTCTTCTGGTGTACACCAGCATCTCGAAGGAACATGCTGTCTCCACCTTCAACGCTGAACAATAACACAGATAAAAGTCTAAACATTGTTTTGTTGTGCATCTATGTATATACTAAATTAATCAAATTGCAAAGTTGCATGAAATACCAGATAAATCGATATTAAATACGTTCCCCCTATATGTAAAAACAAAAATAACCAATCACTTTAAAAGTCAAACGAACAGACTTTGAACTGTGGTTCTCAACGTACGCCTACAGCAGTGCATTATTAATCTAGGCAGAATTTACGCAGAACAAAATTATTACAAATTAGCAGACTAAAAAACGTGCTGATACCAAACGGTTAAATTGGACCCATTCAATTCACACCTGCTTTAGAGCCTGAAAATTGCCATGATACCTTCAACGAGACATCAATCTGCAGGCTACAAACTGCTTTCACGTCAACAAACAGAACTACCTTACGAGCTTCACAGAAGTAACGACTGAAATTAACTTCCTTCGAAACTTCTAGATTCTCATTGGAATGAAGTTAGGGACAATTCTAACATATTCTGGAAAACGGAAGTGACGATCTTCACAGCTTAACAAGATTGCCAATCATATTCGGTGAGATTCAAATTATACAAAACAACATTGTTCATCGAAATGATTTCGATAATTTCTGCTGTTTTCACATTAATTGGTTTAAATATTTGTAATGAAATGTTTTGATGTCAAATTATTCATTAGTTTTAGCCTTTTGGTGGAACACGAAAGTAATTAAAATGGAATCCGGTGCATTAGTTCCAACACAGCACTAACAGATGGCAGACGTGGGACAAGACGTAACTGCCACCTAGCGCGCGCAATCTCTCTCTCTCTCTCTCACACACACACACACACACACACACCGCATGTTCAAAAATAACGACGACACTAACACAGTATCCTAACCTAAAAACTACTCGAAAGCAAAAATTCACTTTTACGCCAAAGCAAACAAAGACTGTGAGCACAAAGTCCATGCCGACCTTAACAGTGCCGACCCATACGCCGGTGACGATTCCAATGAAAAAATACTCCTTGAGAAACCAGTAGTCTCTCAGCTAATAAAGACGTTCCGCCCTTCGTGGTATCAAAAGGACACTAGGTCTTCGAAAAAGAGTTGCACGAAGCCAGTCCACATCCTCAAGCCCATTTTAATATCCTCCCAATCAGGCCTACTTCTAGGGACCTAAAATGGACTGATCCCTTCAGGTTTTTTTACTACAATTTTGTACTCATTTCGTATCTCTGATATGTGTGTTACATGTAGCACCCACCATCCTGGATTTGATCACCGTAAGGTTAGATAAAGAATTTAATATGAAAGTCCTCATTGTGCAATTTCCTTCTCCGGTTTGTGTCCGTATTCTAGGACCAATTATCCCTGGAACCTGTTCTCAGACATTCTTAATCTGCGTTCTTCCTTTGAACTGGAGACTAATTTTCACCCCTATACAAGACAACAGATACAATTTTTAAATTTCACATTATGAAACGAATGATAACTTAATCTCACGTACTGTAACCTAAATGGAACGAACCACACAAGACCTGAGACATCCTGAAGAAATCACATGTATCGTAATGTAAACAAACCCAACCCGACCGATTAAGTCTCATCCGGCACTGGTGTAGGTCGAGCACAGACATCCTTCACAAAGAACGAGCAATTCAAAGGTGATAAAATGATTTCCTTGGCAATCACGGAATTGGCCAATCTATTTGATGCCTGCCTAATTTAAGACTTCTGGTTAAAAGATCAACGTGGTAAACACACAGCTACTAGAATTATGTATAAGAATCATCTCAAGTTTCCAAACACATAATTTGAAAGAATAAATGAGAAACACGAAACAGCAGCTGAAGTTCTAAAAATGCATCAGTGATAATATTACATTTCCATTCCATATTTCTTCCTATATTATATATGTGTTGTTTGGTTTGTTGATTGGTGATCAGATTTTAAAATCACTATTTCCACCAAATTAAATCGTACTGTATTCTTTACTTAAGCAAAGATAAGTAGCAATTTTAATTTTAATAAGCTGCTTTGTTAGACTTTCCAACGTGATCTTTGAAGTACTGCTTAAGATTTTACAGTCATTATTGACGGCAAATTTTCTAGCGTCAATATAATTGTCTGTTTAAGAATTCTAAATACAAAGGCAAGCCAATCTCATTCTCTATGACGTCAGCACAATAAGACGTATTTATCTCACGGCACACCAAATTAATGTACTGGGCACATTACAAAATTCTCGGTGAGCGTACGTACGTTCGTATAAACTATAAACATAGTAGTTCCATTCACCTAATTTCGACAAGTTTTAATTTATATAATTATTTTGTAATATGCATTAAAGTTTACAAAACAATTCCAAAATTAAAAACATTTTTAAAAGCAGTAATATATGAAAGCAGTGACAAACCAATAGGACAGTTAGATTAACCCTTCATATCCGACGGCCGTCTGAATATTAATTAGGAATTCAGTCCGTACCGCAAAGAAAACAACGCGTTACCATTGCGAAGATCAGCTGGTTAATGCTATTTATGGATACAATCCGTGTTGACATTGGGAATGATAAAAAATCCATAAATACAAAAAGCAAATTCACTGATTGTTAACGAGGCTGATATGTATAGTTACCACTCGGCTTTGAAAGGTTAAAATGACTACTCAGAAAAGGTTCAGTAAGTCATAAAGATGCCTGTGAAGAGATAGGAAATACATATAATAAACTATAAATTCTGAAACGCGTAATTAAATAAAGGCAATTAGGCATTTACTAACATGGGCTCCAATATCAAGGTAGAGATTAACACTGTAAGAAAACGCATGACCTTGTGTGCGCGAAGCCGGCGACCATGTCCAAACTCACAGCGATTTACCTGTAGTAACAATTTGGCAAATAAATAGCAGCAGAGTTTTTGTGCGTAATCATTTTACCGTGGAGCGCTAAACGACATCTGTACTTGAGACAGTTCAGTTACACTAAAGGTACAATTTGGCTGCACGCGACAGAGACAAGCGACCGAGGCAGGCGACAGAGACGGGAGACGGACACATCGCAGCTTGTCGCCACACACTTTTGAGGTGACGACCGAGACACGCGGCAAAGTGTTTGTTTTCTTTGTTTTGTTGAGACATACGTGCATATATTCTGTGAAAAATGAGTACACAAATGCTTCTAAAAAGGTTACTCGAAGAATAAGAATAAGATGATGTGTTGCTGTGTTATTTGTTGCGAAAGAAACAAAGAAAACCTATGAGTTCAATATTCAAAACCAGACGTGAAGAAGGATCTTTCTGTCGGTGGTCAGTGGTCGGTTTTCTGCTACTAATTCTACCAATTGCTCATCTTGGTCACCAGTAAATTTAATTTCTGCCATTATTTTACTCAACAACA